AGACTCCAGGATAATTATGGTATGGCTTTGTACAAGTCCTGGTGTCTGAACTCTAAAAATCTGAGACTATGCTTATGGTGTAGGAAACTAAGTTATGGTGAACCCTGGTGCCCTTGCCACTTCTTAGGAAAGGTTTTCCCCATTATGTACCTAAATCACATGTCCACCTTTTTGAACCTAGAACCTCTCTTTTTGTATGCTTTCATTTCTCTGTTGTAATTGTCTCTGCTATCAGCTGTCTGCCACCTCACCTATTTGATAAGCAGTGATGGGCAGTGTTTTCAGCTGGCAGAACTACTTTGAATTAGAGGAGGAGAAGGAGCATTAGGAACAGAAAGTTACCACCTCAGGATGATTTGAAGGAATCATCCTTTATCAGGAAGGATTTTTGGATCTAGTACAGCCGAGACAGCAGATTTTCTATCTTGGAGTTCCTTAGGAGTGAATGACGATTGGATCTAACCCTGGGACTAGTAAGAAGTTTTGTCTTATGTCTATGCTATAGCTACTTTGACTGTTGGCCTAAGCCTTTGTTTTTACTCTTCACTGACTGTAGAGAGACCTGATTTATACCAGCAGCACATAGACCATCCCAGATCTTACACTAGCACAGTGTCTGTTTTTAATATGCTAGTGCCAGACAATGTTTCCAGGTGTTTCCTTATTTCAGGTATGCATCTTAAGTAGTTATGTGTTTTTAGATTTTTGTATTTGTGAAGTACAGTTTCAACCAGGGAACCACTCTTTTTCCTAATTCCATGCCAATTTAGCTGTTAGAAAATTCACAAATAGCCTGAAGTGGGTGTTATGCTAAAATATTTTATATTTCTGTTTCTTTATCCACAGTTTGGGGATTTGGGTTCCTGGCTGTGACTATCATTAACTTGGCATCACTTCTGGGACTGATTTTAACTCCTCTCTTAAAGAAGTCATATTTCCCCAAGGTTTTAACCTACTTTGTGGGCTTGGCCATTGGTACTCTCTTTTCTAATGCAATTTTCCAGCTTATTCCAGAGGTAAGCAAGGGGAATCGTTATTTGGTTTGCATACTAGTTTCTAGAGTGCATTAATTTTAGAAGCATGCTGCAGTGGGATTCTGTGTGTGGATTGCAATCTCCAAAGAGTTGTGGGTGGGCTTCGGTGCCATTAGCTACCACCTCTTTCTGGCTGGGTGAGCAGAGCAATCATGATATATGTCGTCTTGTGCCCTGGGAAAGACCAAGGGCTATTCTGCTTCTAGACAGAAAGAGAAATGCATTGGACAAAGTTCTAGTGAACTTTAATGGGCTACAGGTTAGACCCTCCTCATCTTGCACTTTAGTACAACATTCCTTCCACATGTAAAGTTCTACTGAATTAAAACACTGTTAACATTTAATCCAAGTTAGGATCAGGATCTTTCATAATTCCAGCCTCATGGAAACTCATGGTCGGTAGAAAGAAAGTCTGTATTTTAGAGGAGTATCTGTGTGTGGGGGGCGTGCGTTTGTTTTTCTGGAAATGTACTAAGATGACAGGCTAATTTGCATTCCTCTTTTCTTCTCTGTTAGGCATTTGGGTTTGACCCGAAAGTAGATAACTATGTTGAGAAAGCAGTTGCAGTGTTTGGTGGATTCTATATTCTCTTCTTTGTGGAAAGGATTCTTAAAGTGATATTGAAGATCTATAACCAGGTAATGAAATGTTTCACTAACTGAATGAGCCTTGCCTTAAAGTACCTGTTATATTTTATGAGATACTTGATAATTTAATAAAATGTGAGTTTTTTTCCATTTTATCTGAGGAATTCAGCCGTACCACATGTTCTGGTATATTTATTTAAAATCTATATGGATAGCAGGGAAGCAAACTCACTTTTTTGACGGAGTTACAAGCAGAGCTGGGAATAGAATCCAGATGTGAGTGTGGTCTGCTGTCACTGGCGTATGCTCTAGTTGCTCACAACGGCCAAGTTGTTGCCATGCTAGCTAAACACATCAGAAACAAGTGGAAACATGTAAGAGCTGGAGAGAGTGGAGTCTGCCCCTGGAGCTCCCCTTTGGGCAGGAGAAATCAATGTGACTACTTTCTTAGTCACCTGTAAAGTGAAACTGTGCTGACAGTGCCTGAATCTCACCTTCAGTAACTTCAGCTCTGTGTTTCCCCGTGCTCTGGTACACAGACCTGCTTTAGTGATGCCACAGTTATCCCTGTTACGCAGGGCTCTGCTTTGTACTCTTACGTCAGAGTACTTGTTACCTGTGTATTCACATGAGTGAGGCTGAATTTGTGATGGGAGAAGGGCCTTTCAAAATTTTTGGTCCTTTCTGCTCACATCTTGCAAGGGTAACTGTCCTGTCTTCCTCCTCTCACCTCACTTAAGGTCCCCACTCCAAAATTGTTGCTGATATTGAAGATTATGAAGATTAACTGTCCCTTGTTCGTAGTAACTGCACCAAAAAGAAAATAGAAAAAAAAGAATTTGTTGCCCTTTATTTTTGGGGAACGAAGGATAATAAGCTCTATTTGACAAGCAACCATGAATAAGTAGCAAATGTTGATCACTTATGGTCAGGTGTTCGGCTTGGGAGGTTCTATATAAAGGTATAAAACCGAAAAATCCCCACATGTATTCTGACTAGCTAAAAGAAAGAGATAAGTTAGGAGCTTAGATACGTTTGGAGTTAATTTAAACATTTAAATGTTTACTGCTGCTCATTTAAACATTTACTTGGTGTTGAAAGCAAGGCAGCATGAATATGATGCCTCACTTTTTCTTTTTTTGTCTCTATTTTCTTATGTTTATCATTTTGCTTTTGTTTTAATTAGCTACCTTCTTATTTATTTGTCACCTAGACTGGCCATAATGACTCTGGAAATGGCGAACAGAATCATTCTGAGGGCAAGACTAACCCACCCAAACCACTATCATCCAGCAATGGGGGGACGTGCTATGCAAATTCAGCCATCATAGAGAGCAATGGAAATCTTGGTTTTGACAGCATCAGTGTGGTCTCAGCACAGGTATGAAAATTGTGTCTATTTATTTATTTTATCCCCACCAATTATATAAGCATATCTGAGGGGAGAGTTAATATGAATTTTTATTACTTTTGTCAAGTTTTTGTAAACTTATAGCTTATAACTTGCTTGAGCCCCATGAAAAAAATGTGGGATTTTGGGGCAAGTTTACAAAAGCTGAATGATGCATTCAGTTTGTAGCCAACAGAAAGAGCTAATTGGTATCAGTGTTGGGCTGGGTAGGAGAGAGAGAGATTTTTAATTAGATGATTCAGTTAATTTTTGTTTTGTTGTTGTTATTGTTTTGCTTAAAGAGTGATAGTGTGGTTTAGTGTTGCACAATCCGTATTGTGTTTCTGATTATATAAAGCCGTAAGTGTGAGAACCTAATTCCTCTCAATCGGCAATTAATGAGGAAAACTAATACGGTAACTTTCTTGCAGTATATTGTGAGTACTGCTTGTGCTATTCCAGTATATTTGGATACTGTGGGAATTATGGAGGTAATATGTGGAGACAGAAGCCATTCCTCCTGGTTTAAGTGTTATTCTCTTTCAGATTTGTTCTCTATATTTATCTGTGTTTGTTTTCATACTACAAATATGACTTCCTTCTGTGTGAGAAGAAAATGGAAGCTGGAAGAGAAAGTTGGTGTGCTGGTTTATTCTTTTCCGTGTACAGAGAGGAGCAGTACTGTCCCTTATTTAAAAAAATGGAAACAAAAAAACCCCTGAAAAACCCCACATAGAAACAATTCTCTGATGGCTAAGGCAGATTTTTTCATAGTAGAGATTTCTGTTTTACCACCCATGTTCTTTAACCAGTAAGTTGTTTCTGGGGAGCAGTGAGGAGCAGGAGAGGAAGCCAGAGGCAGGCCCTAGCAGCCGGGAGAGAATCCAAGAGTTCTGCATTGACCCTGCAGGCTCACAGGGCGTTTGATGCACACATTTTAAAGTACCAAAATTGTACTTGTCCTCGCTGTAGAAATGTCATGAAGTATGGTGGGTACTGGGCATTTTAAAAACTAGGAGAAATACGCTCAATAATTAAAATTGCATGGGCACCAAGAGGGAATTAGTATTATGAATGTCCCTAAACTGTATTTTGTAGATTTATAAAATGAACAAAAGAAGCCTCCACTCTCTGCAGAGACAATCGTCTCCAGTGGCATGGGTGGTGTTTTTCTTCCCTGTTTACCAGAATTTTTATCTGGACCTGTTCCATTATTAGGTTTTGGATAGCTGTCTGCTTACGCATAATGTAAATATAACAAAATCATACATTTTATTCTTATAATATATGGTAAATATATAGCGTTTATTTCTAGCAACTAATTCAGATGCAGTGCTTGTGATCATAAAGTATTGTCAGTCACCCCAAGATCCTTTGTGAAATGCTCATACATCTCCTTTTACATGCAGTCTTGACTTTGAGAACTTAGTTTCACAAAGGTTCTTCTCCTGTACTTGTTGTTATTATGAAAATTTATGCTTTCTATTCTTTCTTCCTCTTCATTTCTCCAAAGCCAGTGTCCTGGGTTGGCTAAAACAGGACCATTTCTCCTTTCAGTAGATTTTCTTTCAGTTAAGTTTCTTCTAAGTACTGCACTTTCTGAAGTTGGCTACATGTTTTTCCGACAGTGTCTGCTTTCAGAATTGATAACGGTTGATGTTTTATAGTTGTTACTAAAGTAACAGTAGGGTTGGTATGCAGAAAGGCCCATGTTTATCCTTATTCCTATGGGAACCAAGGTCACTGATGGCTCTCTTATGGTTCACATGTGTAAAGGTGTAAATGGGTTGCACCTGTGGGAAAGTGTGGAGGGGACAGGTGACCAAAAATGGACCAACGAGGTATTCCAGCCAGGAAGAGAAAACATTGCATTAAAACCTCCTGAAAGTCACAGGGTAAAATTCACTCTGCAGCAAGGGCTGGCTGCAAGGAAATCCCTGTGACAGGTAGCCTGCTGCTGATATTGACGGTAGCAACAAAAAAGCGATCATTACTCTTTTCCTTCTCCAGGCAGGTTCAAAGGGGCCAGGTTGCCTTCGGAGTCATTGGAGGGCTGGGGAGGGCCGATGTGGCTGAGGGGTTTTGGGACAGGTAGGGTAGTGCCATGAGGCTGGGTATGCGTTCAGCTTTATGGGCATTTGGTATTTATGAAGGAAGCATTTGGCATAAGCCAACACATAACTAATAGAATTTTAATGTGTCCTTGTAGTCTAGATCTTATTAGAGAGGGCGAACACAGTGTAGCCAGAAATCGTCATGTAGGCTTTAAGGAAGGAGTATGAAGTCTGATTGTGGCCAAAGTGTGGTAGCTGTTTTCAGCCATGGGGATCCAGCGATATTCTTTTAGTGCCAGAACAGACTGACTGCCAGGGTAAATCTAAATGTTTAATTAGTCACATACTTTCAAATTTCACTTGCAGCAGTAATTGCAACCTTGGAAACCTTTTTTGTGCTTACCCCAAATTTGTATCTACTATGCATTAAAATTATATGGCTGGACAACAGTAACTTTGAAGAAAAGTTGTTTCCGAGACAAATTGCTGAAATGTCTGTATCCTCGATTGCACAACATTAGAGTTGTATAACAAAACTCTACAGTGGCCTGCCTTTATGCCTTGGAGGCAGTGTCAGGATTCCTTCTTGGTCCTGTAGGCACTTCCAGAGGACACAAAAGGACATGTATGGCTCATGTCTGAGGGAGTCGGAGATGTATTAGAAGTAGCAATAATAATCTGATGAGATATCACAGGATAAAAAAAAGACAGTCTCTGTATAGTTTCTTAAGTTTGGGACCAAAGGAGAGGCCATTACTTTTAAAGAAAAAAGTGGTTTCGGAATATCAAAAATACCAAGGATGTCTTCGGTTTACCATAAACAGTGGAGATATAAATAATACAGAACTGCACTAATAATTAATAAAAGTCAGACTTGATAGTTCAACTGGGTATTACAGAGCTCCTTAGCTGATATCTCTTCTGTGATGTTTGCTGAACTACCATGATGAAGTGGGAAGAGTTCCAGCAGAGACAGGCATTGTTTGTTTTTGCCTTGGCATCCTATATATTTGTAGGGTAACTTTGTTGGTAGTCTGCCTTATCTTAAACATTAAGAATATGTATTAGTCATTCATCTAGTTCTATTGGACACACAATCTAGTAAAGTTCAGAATGTAAACCCAGACAAGCAATATCATTGTACTTTATATAATTCACAGAAGTAGTCAAGACATCATCTAAAATAGATTACAGGCAAGAATTATGATACTTCAAAGCTACACAGTAAATGGCAGGTAGCCCCATATATATATATATATATTACAGAAGCCTCTCAGAAGCCTATTCGTAGTTTTTAAACTACAATTGTTTCTGCATTTTGAAAGATTGGATCAAGAAAGTAATTTTCAGAAGTAAAGCAATACTGTTCTCCTAAATTAATCGCAGTTACTTAAAAAAAAAAAGTACATAGAACAACCTAAACCTTAGCATTTTTCTAGAGTCAGTTCCATTCTTGATGAGTTCATCAGCTAATTCTTAGTAGCATCTTCTTACTCAGTGTTCATTTTCTTCATACATACATAGAAAGTTCAGCACATATATTTGTAAATTATTTCGACAAAAAAGCCCTTCAGATCAGACTTATGTTTGTCATACGTATACAATACTTTGGACTGTCATTGGAATTCTCAGCTGTGTGTGACTGGTACTAGAAAATGGGTCCTTTACATATTTCTATGACTAAGCCAGTTATGCCCCTAGAGCCCTCAGAAAACTATAGGGACACACATAGTTCCCACATAAAAATGAATGTACTTTGCTGGGAACAAACATAAACAAGTATGTACAAGTGACATTTTTGCACACTTGTATTGTTTGCTCACTGTTTTTATTGCTCTTTAGGAATTTTCATCCTAATCAACTCTTTTCATAAGACCATTTATTTTATAGAGATGCTTATCATTTGATGTAAGAACTTTTTGGTAATAGAAAGTTTTTACAGAACAAACCCCACCACTGCCTCCCTTTCTCATGTACAATAGAAGTTGCTAATATACCTTTTCAAAATACAGTTTCCTGAGATTAGTATTGTTGTTTTATCAGAAAATAGTTGCTGCTGTTGTTGAGGTTTTTGTGTGTGTGGTTTCCAAAAGAACAATGTTCTTTTTTAGTAGAAAAAGGAATGAATTATTCAAAATGAAAGTCAGTACATTGTCTCAAGCTCTGTTTCCTCTGTGAAGCTAGAAACATGCCCAAGAAAGAAGATGTGCTTTTGGCAGAAATCAGGATAATTACAAAACAATGCCTCCATCAGTTCTCAGGCAGCTTGAAGGATGGTCACCGGGCTACAGAACTTCAGCCTAGGGAGCTGGATGAATAGGTGGAAGAGCTTTGCTAGTTGTGTTTGGATTTTCTCATAGTCATGCTTCTTTTTGCTTCCAGTTACCCAATATATGTATTTTATGTGGCTTGCTTTGTAATATTTCTTTCTTAAAATGAAATTCAAGTTGCCTTTGTGGAATAAGAGAGGAGTCTTTTACTCATAAGTGATCCTATCTCAAAAGAATTAGTACAGGTACAAATTAATCATCCCAAAAATATGATTGGCATTGCTTGTGTGTTAGATGAAATGTTGAGTGGAAAACCTCCAAAAACTGAAGGCAAGCACGTAGTACAAGTCTAACACCTATGTGTTTGAGTCAGTGTGGAAACCTCCAATTTTTGGATACCGTTGCTCATTTTCACATCGTAAAAGTATAATTTCTGGACTTCCTATGCACTGAATAGGAGCTGTAAGTGTGCTTCATGGCAGTGTGGCACTACTCAACCAAGGCTTTGTTAGCTATGAGTTCCAAGTAGTGCAATAGGCATCTGACTCAGAAATCCCTGACTTGAACTTTTGTCCTGTCCCAAGACAGCTCCTATGTACAAGGATGTAGCATGTCGGATAAGAGTCGGGTGAGCAAATCATAAGACAGACCTTACTGCTCTGTCACTAAAGATTTTGTAAGAATTTATTATCATTATATTTCCATGAAGTTCAAAATTCAGTTGCCTGCTAGCATTTGCATTTGATATGGCAAAACTAAAACAATTTGCAATGTTCTTTTTAATACCTGAGGAAAATTTCGTGGAGTAATCCGTGAGCAGAACAGGTATTCCTCTATACCCTTCTCCTACAAGAGAAGAAGAGGTGTATAAGTATGTCTGTGGGTGCACAGATGTATATATTACTGCTTATGTATGGCAGTAAGTAAGCACTAGTTAATGCCTTATATGCAAATCCTTTTTTTTTTTTTTTTAGAGGGGGAATACTGTAATGCTTGCAATTATTATGTCAATACAGTATATGTGTGTACAGAAATTTATCAGAACAGATCATTGGGAATTTTTTTAGGGGAGGTTAGTTTGTGCTTCCAGCTAAAACGGCCGTTCCTTTTATCTGCTTCAAGTTTTTCATTGTTCCACGGCATTGCACGTATAAATTACTTCCACTTCTGGGAGGAATTATTGAGATCCCTCGTGTGTATGTGCATTGCAGTTTTATTTGCAGTTGTTTTCATGCTCTGAGCCTTCAACGCGCACAGTCAGAATTACCCACTGCTGTTTTTATTAAACATGCACTTTGTAGAAACTAATTTGAATAGCTGGACTTGGCTATCATTGCCCCAAATTAGAAATAAAGTTTATGGAGTATCTGCATGTGTGTCTATATTCACATGTACCTGGCTGTTACTGTGGCAGCTAAGTGTGTCTCTGAGAGCGTGAAGTACTGGCGGTATGTAACTGGTCCAGATGTGTTTTACGTAGGAAATACAGACGCTGTCAGTCACTGTGATCAGATCCTTCTGATTGTACATGCTTGATAGAGGTGGCTGAGGAGGCTGTGAGGAGCTTTGGCCGTCTTTTAATCTGACAGAGACTCAAGAGATTCAGACCACTGTGGTCTGAACTGCTTTCTGTCTCAGCTGAAGGGCATTCAGGTAAAGCTTTGTAGTTAGAAGGGTGATTGGACCCTGCGTGTTAACTTGTTGAAACAGGAAACATTTGCTACTGCTACCTGTGCCTTTTGCTTCTTGGACCAAGCGTTTTGGTCTCCATTTCCGGTAGTGCTTTATTTTATACTTGATACCCATTTAAAGACTGAAGTGGGATTCGTTGGCTTCTTTATTCAGTGTTATGCATTTGTTTCATTGTGTTGTTATTTTTTTTTTTCCAGGAAGAAGCCACCCAAGGCAGCTTATGCAAGTGTCTTAAGGGGCGTCCACTGTCAAAGATTGGGACCATTGCTTGGATGGTAACACTGAGTGATGCCGTACATAATTTCATAGATGGTTTGGCTATTGGTGCTTCCTTCACTTTGTCTCTGTTTCAAGGGCTTAGTACCTCCATAGCCATCTTGTGTGAAGAGTTTCCTCATGAACTGGGTAAGGAACTTCATTCAAGATTTTATTTACTTTGGAAATTACTGTTGTAGGAGGTTGTGCTGGCCGAAAGTTGGCATAGGTTGAAAGGAAGTTTAGACAAATTAATGGAAAAAATATACATCAAAAACTTCCCAAGCACCAAAATACATATCTAGCAGAGGAAGTTCCCAAGTGCAGGTGAGTGGAAGCTAGGAATCTATATTTGAGAGGTATTAATTGCCCTGTTTGTGTATGCTGCATATGCTGTTGTATGAATTTTTTTTTTTCTTAAATCATCATAGGTATTTCTGTGTTCCTGTGCTCTTAGCTCAATTGTGCATCGCATACTTGCTTTGGAATATTTCAGTTATCTCAGTATTGAAGGGAAATCCTCATTTACTTGAATGAAGAAAAACAGCGAGGGGTTATAATTTGTATACAAATCATGTCTTTTCTTCAGACTTCCTTTGAAATCAGAAAATAATCACAATGTTGTTTTCTGAAGATTTTTTTTTCTTTTTTTTCTTTCTTCTAGGGGATTTTGTAATCTTGCTTAACGCGGGAATGAGTACTCGGCAGGCTCTGTTTTTCAACTTTCTGTCTGCATGTTCCTGTTACATTGGGATGGCTTTTGGTATATTAGTAGGCAACAACTTTGCTCCTAACATCATCTTTGCTGTAGCCGGTGGAATGTTCCTATACATCTCTCTGGCAGATATGGTAAGATGTAATTTCATTTTCAGTTATTTATTTTTCTGCAAGAAAACAAAGACTGCACTAAGTCTCTCCAGTAGATTTTAGTATTTTTTCTCTCATGCCAGTGTCATCTACTTATTATTATTGATAGATGTTAAATCATCAATAGCCTTAATGGAGGTGCACAAGTAGTTACGCTTATTCATGAAATGTGAAAGCCTTTCACTTCACAAATAGGGCTGATCAGATTATTGCTGAAAAGGAGTTTTTGAGAGAGACAAGCTTTTCCTGAATTTGGACTGGTTTCATAAAAGAGTAAAAAGTGTATAAATACTTTGTTTCAGCATTTTAAAATGGCAAAGTATCTCACCTTATTATTTTTAAAAGATTCATTTGCCTATTTAAACCACATTTTGAAAGAAAAGAAAAAAAAAAGGTAAACAAAAAGAAACTAAATAGTTTGGAGTTGAATGAAAGGTGTTGTGTAACCACAGTGCTAATTTTGGGGTTGTTTCGGTGGAAAACCTGACGTAAATTCTGTTCTGGTTTAAATTAAACAGTGCCAGCCCAAATGTCTTGGTTCAGACTAAAACATTTGCTGAACTCTATTCAAAACAGTCTGTCTATCATTTATTTTTTAAAGTGTGCTAGAAGATAGAAGCCAAAGAAATTGTACTAAGATCCAGATCAGATTTAGACATTGGGAAATAAAATCTGGATTCACAGGCAGCCAGCAATATTCTGTAATTTACTCTTATGTTGATGATTTATCTGAAAATGAGAGAGATCTTTCAAGAATCTTAAGTTTTGTTATGTTTAATTCAGTGCTGTAAGAACAGATGTATCTGCAAAGATGTTTAGGCCTGCCACATGAGAATCCCTTTGACTGTAGAACTGGAAGAATGAGGCCTGAATTTGAAAAGATTTGAGACCCCAGATTAGTTCTATATGTGTTTAAGAACTGTTGTATAGTTACAGTGACTGTTTCATTAGATACTATTATAGTTTAGGTAATAACATAGGATTTAATAAGTAGTAATGTTAGAATGAAATGAACAATACGAATAGTTTATTTTGCAAGTTTGCGGTACCTTAATTGCTAATGCTTTTCATTTAGTGTCACTCTGATATAAAGAATAGTAGTGTACTCAACTATGATGTGTAAAACTCGTGGTATAAATTTAGAGTGGCTCAACTTAAATTTGTTATTAAATCCATCAAAGTAGGTAACATTCTTTTCTTTGTATCTGTTATTCTGTTCTCTCTGTTTCTCTCTGCCTCTCTCCATCCCCCTCCCCCTCCCAGTCTCTCTTTTTGTAGGTTTTTGGATTGTATCAGTTACCTATCTGAATTTTTCTTCCCCCTGAAAAGTCTGAAATAGGGTATTCAAGTGCTCTGTACAGAGATCTGGCTTTCCACTTTCAGTTATGATTTTCACACACTTCTGGTTTGCTTGTCCAGAAGCAGGTAGGATTAACTAGAATGTTATTCCTTCCTTCCTTTTCTTTTTGCTGTTCTTTTTTCCTCCAGTATTTGCATAGTCCAACCTCTGCCAGTAAGATCACTGTGTGGTGAGGCTGTGGGCGTGTGAGAATGTGTACACTGAGGTGTGTGCACAAATTACCCTTGCTGTATGGCATGAAGTTGATCTGGTTTGTTGCCTTTTCCTCTTGTGCAAGAGGATTACGGAGCTCCGGAATGATTTCTGGGAAGGTTTGGCCACTTCCCACTAACCTTAGTCTGTTCTTCAAGAATTGCATTGTGTTCAATGGCTGGTTTTACCTTGTGAGGTCAAAGAAAGATACAGCTTCCGAGTCACCCAGCCTGAAGGTTTCTAAACTAACACTGAAATATACAGTCTTCATTGCATTCTGGCAATACTGCTCTCAGCACAACAGGAGAAGAGTTTAAAGTTCGAGTATGTTTGTCAAAATCTGCTGCAATTGACTTTATCTACAACAAACACATCCCCTGCATCACCCCACACAGGGGCCTTTATCGCCAGGGCTCATTTGCCGTCACCTCCATTGGCTCTCAGAGGAAGTACCTTTGTTTCTGCAGTTAACAGCAGATTGGTCATTCTTTGGTACTGTGTTGCCTTTAAGATGCATGTTACGGAATGAAGAATCCCTTCATTGCACTGTAATGTGATATTGCATGTGTAACCACCAGTTTCACAACATTCTTCTTTCTTCCTTGCTTTGCCACTACCTCATCAGCCCACCAGACCTTCTGTTTGTAACAGGTTTCTTATTTCTGAGGCGTTATCTGTGTGTTCAGCTTCACTTCATTTGCTTATAGATAAAGAAGAAGAATCCTAATCTTCCATTTCCTGAACAAGGATTTCTCTGTTTGTATTAGTGAAGAAAGAAACACAACATTTAGCAATACAAGGGCAGCTGCTCCTAGCAACACACGGGCCAACAGTTGGACCCTAGGAGACTGCTGGAATGAAAAAGAGGAAATTTGCATGAGAGGCAACTAGTTGAAATCACAGTAGAGAGGAACAAAACACCATTTCATTTGATCATCCTTGGTGAAGTGGTTTTTCAGGGTATTTAGGGTAAACCCGTTCCTGTGACTGCTTTCCCCTCTGTTAGTTCTAATATTCAGTCCAAAGTAGCAATATGTTCAGTTCTTAATGCCTTAAGTTATATACGCTACCACGAGATGGCAATACTTACCTAAAAATATCCCCTTTTTCAGTTCCCGGAGATGAATGATATGCTGCGAGAGAAAGTGACAGGAAGAAAGATGGACCTCACATTCTTCCTTATTCAGAATGCTGGTTTACTAACGGGGTTTACTGCTATACTGATGATTACCTTGTATGCAGGAAATATTCAGCTGTGATAATGCAAGTGAAAATGAAATCAATGCTGAAGACATCAAGTAAATTACAAGTGGAAGACACTTGAAATCCATAAAGGGACGTTCATTTAATCTACTTGGTTTTGAAATGGTGACAAGTCCTGTCCTGTCCCCCTTGCTCCAAATACAGGAAATGCTTCTTTAGGACTTGCAGTCAATCCAAATAGTAGGAGCTGTCAACTTTTGTACTATGCCAAAGAACCATTCTAATATTTTTATTTCTACTTAAAATTATCAGACGTATCTGAACTGTCATAGAGAATGGATGTTACTTGGCCAGTAGAATTACGCAATACATGCAACTACATGCAACTCAAGACCAAATGAAAGCTGAGGTCTTCCAGGAAGGTGCTTATTTAAAAGAAAATAATGGAGTCTTATATCCTTTTTTAACTGTGATGAAGGCAAGCAGCTTCAAAACTGGTTAACTTTCATGACTTTTGTTGCAGGATTTGTCTGTGTAACATCCCCTTCCCCTACCAAAAAAAAAAAAAAAAAAAAAAAAAAAATTCAAACTGTTTCAGAGTAGGTACTAATGAAGCTAAGATTTTTTAATTACTAATTAACACTGGAAGGAAAGATACCAGTTACTGCTTTTGATCTTTTCTCTTTATAAGTGCACTAGGGAATTGTTGATTTACTTTGAGAACCACTTTTTTTAATTAGAGGGAACCTGTGTTAAATTTATGACAATTTATCAACTCCATAATATTTTAGAAACATTGAGCATTTAAAAAATGTTCAAACATTTTGTATTTTATGAAAATAGTAATGTTTTATATTTAAGTTCCACAAATATCCCTTAAAAAAAAAAATAAATCAGTATTTTGGGTTAAAATTTTTAAAGATTTATTGTTAGTTTTACAAAGTGGAATTTAGAAAAAAAACTTGCTAAAATCAACATTCCGGTAAGCTTTTTTGTAATTTGAATAATTTCCTTGTGCGCAGTTGGGTGAAAGTGATGTTAAAAGATACAAACTCTTATCACAATCTGTTGCATATGAACTTTCTAAAATCATGTTTATATGTATGAGTTCTTCTGAAATAAAAAATTCAGCTAGTCTGGTGTTGTAAGATATGTGCAAAGAAATTCATAAAAAAATATATTCCATTTCAGTCACTACTGAGCTTTGAATGAAGTATTGTTATTCTCTAGTAAGATACTTTTTTTCGTTTTTAGGCAAGTTCTACAACTTCAGAGAAGATTCTGTTTCTTGACTTATTTCCTCGCAGTAGGAAGGGACAAATCTTTTCTTTTTAATTCACTATTAGAATATATTTCCTATCAGGTAAAGGATTTATTTTAATATTTTATTTGAATCTCATCTGTAATTACATTAGGAAAAAATAACCAACCAGGCACTTGGAAAAGTTAAAACTTTAAGGCAAACGGCACAGGAGTTGTAAATGATACTTATATTTTAAAATATGTTATAAATGTTAAAATGTAATTATAGTAGTCTATGATATTTGCTGTATGGAAAAAGCATTTGTTAGTCACTTTATGCCCTCTAAGTTTCTGTGAAGAAGGGTCCACTCACTCTACGTTCTTTCCTTTAATTCTTTCTTTTGTTGATTCCTTGGATATAAGCTGTTTGTAAATGCTACTCTTGTGTATGGCAAGAATGTTATACGGTAACTATGGATGTTCTTTGACTTTTTAAAATCATTTGACCATTCCTAGTTCATCAGATTATTATAATAATATACCTGCATGGTACTTTTCACCTTTAAATCCAAACATTTGCAAGGGAAATTTGATTTTTGCTATCTCCCTAAGGAAGAAAAACCTGAGACAAACAAGTCATTGAAATAACTTACTTTTTGATCACAGAGCAGACTAGAGATGCAACAAAGTCTAATTTTCAGGGTAGTGCTTTAGTCACAAACCAAATTGCCTTTTCTGCTAGTGGAATATTTAGTAGGTAAGAAAGCTTTTTGATTTCTTTATGAGCTGGTCTGTCTGTATAATCTTTGCTATTATGTTTGTCCAGTACATATAGGATAAAGTCCAGTTCTAGGGCTGCCATTGATTTCCTAGATTTTGCTGATACATCTAGAGAGGAAGAAGCACGAGCAAACACTCAAAAGATTGTTGTTTTGTGACAAAAAAAGACTGCTGTAAGTTACTTCCTAAAAGTTTGGAAATTAGTTGAGGGAAAGATTTTCATATTCTTTTTCATGTTCATGTCATCCTTAACACTGTTCATCTTGTATTCTGCCATCTCTTCACCCTTCTTTTCAACAGTTGTGCAAATTCTGTGTATAATGTAATTTCAGAGGGCTCTTACATGCTTTTGTATTTGTTATTTCCATAGGGCAAATTATCTGACATCTAATGTTAAATGTTATCTGACATACACTTGGGAAGATATTCTGTGTTAGCAATACTGTCATAGATCATATACTCTCGTAAATAGATCACTGTCGTAAAGTTTCCTCTTTTTTTATCACATGGTTCATGACCAAGACACACTTCAGTAAATTTCACTAGAGGTGGGGGAAAAAACCACCACCACAAAACCCCCACACCTATGAAAGACACTAAAGAAGGAAGAACAAGAACACTAAAGAAGAACAATTGTGTTTTGGAGCCAAAAGTGTATGAAGAGCAACAACATGAACAAAGGATAAACCCTAGAGTTCTTCTGATCCCTTGAAGAAGGGATATATGGAAAAGTGAAACGGTCTATGGTTGAAACACATCAAAAATTTGATACATAATTACTGCCTATGATTTCAGGAAAAATGAATTGAAAAATTAAATTGGTACTTAAAGTTCAGGGTTATTGCTTCTGACATTTCAATGAGTTCTTTACTGAATAAGGATTTAAAGCATCAAACTAAAAATTTGGTCTCAACTATAACCAGCTAAATTAAATATCAGCTGCATTCTAACAGTAGTCTGGAACTCATTGTGGTCTTCTGTATGTTGAAGTATTGGCTCTACTGCTCTCTCAAGTTTTGCTGCCTGCCTGAAGCTTTGTGTTGCCCTAGTTAAAAGCTACAAAACCCAATCTGCGTAGTTTAAAGATGACCTGAGCATGCATAAATTACATTCAGTTATGCTAGTGATAGCAGTGGGAACATCTGTTTGATACACGTAAAGAATCGATTGTGTGTGCTAATTTCTGTATTGCAATATGTAATTTTTTTAAGAAACCACTGGTTTTACCCATACACAGGTGAACAGATTTACATATTTGCATGTTGTTTTGTCTTGTATTGAGCAAATTTGAAGGTGACTAAGATCCAGGGAGAAAACAGTCTTAGATGACTGTTTTTTTTACTCTATGCAATTCTAATGAAGCCGTTTACAAAGGCAAACAGTGTTGAGACAAGTTTTAACTTCTCTGAACATGTAACTTGTTGCCAAATTTAGAACATGGGTTGAACACGCGTTTCCTTTAACTGTAGACAATAATGCTAAGCAGTAGAATTCAAGAAATCTTTCAGACCCCTTGAAACTTAAACTGTTTGAGGGGTTTTAATTTGTTTTAAGTCAAGTGAAAACTGATTCTAAGAACAACAACATATAACAAGAGACACAGAGTCCCACTCTCCTCTCTACAGTTACGGGAGCTAGTCAGCTATAGTTGATTCCTTGAGTATGTTGCAACAGCTTCAGGTGTTTGAACTTCCAGCCTATGTGACAGGGACAAGAAAGCACAGATGCTGTGAGGGCATTTCCAAAAGGATCAAAATTGTTCAGAATTCCTCAATGGAAGCTTAACTAAAGAAAAAGAAGATAGAGGAAAAACTGTCTCTAAAATGCATGTTTTATTTCAGAAATACAGCTGGAAAAGGACACTAGCTTGGATTATCCTTCTGCAGGTGGTTACTCTGTATAGATTGGTAGGTGCTAGCAAACCATTTCATGTAGCAATATGCCACCAAATGCATATTGTAGCTCATGACTTTGGCTTTACTATAATATCCCAAAGTTTCCAGGAATACTGTAGCTGCCTTATCAGCTCTTAAAATACATGATACACAAGTTATCTCTCTAAGATTTGAGAACAAACTCCTCTCCCTATCTTGCAGTTCAGTTCAAAATGTATAGGTGTGACAAACTGACAAAGGTTGCTAAAAGGAAAACTAGACAGAAAGCCATATGTCTGCTAGCAGTAGATATAATGCACGTGTTAAAGATAAGGTTATTTTGTATTTTTAGGGCTTAATCCCTAGTGCATTTCTTTTGTACCTGTTATATTCTGCGTGTTTGGTTTTTTTTCCCCACTTATTACAGTGCTTTTGAAGAAGATAAAGTATTTACATGTTTTGTAGTCCTTATTATGATCATAAAGCTTTATTCTAATTTAAAAAACCCTCTGCAATTTCTACATCTTCTTCCATTTTAAAGTTAAGTGCTACAGCATTTAAGGTTTGGGGTAAAAATAGGAGATACTGAATGGCATAGGCAGCGAACTGCAAGGAAGATGCAGTTTGAATGTAAGAATAGCATGTAAATTTAAGAGATAATGTAATTCTCAATAATGTATTGCTATTAACTGCTGCTCTGGGTGAAAGCACTATGAAAGATTCATAGGACCCAAATTTGATTTCCTTTAGAAAGATAACAGTTCCTGACTTTAAGAACAAACAACTTCAAGTAAGGACTGTTACATTCTTCAAGATAGAAGACTAAATCAAAAAAGCAGAGTATAGGCAACTGCAGTATCCAGAGAGGGACCAGGATGTCTGTACCACACTCAAAAAACTGTTCTCTCTTGTGACCATGCCATTTGCAGTCTATTTGTATGCAACAAAAGACTTTGGGAGAATCATTGATGCAGATGAGTAATTGCATCTGTAACAGTGACATGGCAGGCTCCATGGTGCTCAATATTCCAGCTGCTCTTTCTCCTTCCTCTAGAAATTAAGGAGACTGGTGGGTCAGCAGATTTTGGGAGGAGGCTTTTTTGGGTGTGTCACTTCTGTCCAAGAAAATAAAGAGAATGTACCTAAAAGCACATCAGGAG